AGTAGGATGTGGGATGGAGCTGTGGCTCATCTGGGGTCGCGCAGGAAAGGGGGTGGCTCCCAGTGCTGGGCGCACCCCCGGGGAAGGCATGGTGGGGTATGTGCCCCCCGGATCTGTGCACAGGATGAGGGCAGGCTGCCGCTGTGCACTCAGGGCTGGGCTCTTCCCAGCAAGGGGGTTAGGCTGGGGCTGAGCTTGGGGCAGGTGGCGGCAGCAGTGCTGGGAAGAGAGTTACAGGGGGTGCTATGGCCACCCCAAAATTTGCCATAGCCCACCCCATAGCCCCCTCTCAGTGCCACCGCTGCCCACCCCAAATGCAGCTCCCCCCCCCAAGAAGGGCCCTGCACTACTCCTGGTCCCAGCCTGCAGCAGCAGCCCACCCTTGCCCTGTGCACAGATCCAGGGGACACATGATCCCCCATGTCTCCCCAAGGGGTACATGCAGTAGTGGGAGCAACCCCCGCCCTCCCTGCACCCCCCAGACAAGCCACGGCTCTGTCCCTCGCCCCACCCTGGCTGTGCAGTGCCTGACCCAGCTCCACTCCCTCCCTCACCGTGAGGGCATCAATCTGCACCCCCATGCCCCTTCCATCCCCACAGTCCCTTCCCCGCAACAGACTTACCAGCTGGACGCTACTCTCCAAGCTGCCAGGCTGTGTATCAGCAATTGGATCAATATTGGCGGATATGGCTCATTAATAATCAGCAATTGGTATCAGCCCCAAAAATCTTTACCAGTGCACCCCTAGTCAAAACACTAACCGATGTAAACTCAGAGCAGATCAGGGGTCATCTTATTTATAGCAGTCTTTCAACAGCTGCCCATGAATGCCAAGCATAGTGCGGTGTACATTATGATGGCTTAATTTATGGGCCCAGTCTGTATATTTGTGCTGAAGGATTTCCTCCCTGGATCTTTGCGAAACAGTTCCAGCCCTTAACACGCTCCAGAAGTAATATACACAAGCAGTAGGGGGCATATCTGTACCTTTGAGTGAAATAAAAATGTTACCCCAAATATTTTACACAAAGGAAACAAAGTGAAGACACTGAAAAAGAGTGGAATGGTTATGTCAACAGCCCCCTTTTCACTGCATGTTCCCCTCAAGAGGCAGCTAGCTACCTGTCAACAACGACAAAAAATCCATGCAAGAGTAAATATTTTTATGAAAAGCATTGACTCCCCTCTCTGAAAGAGCTAATGGACAGCCACAGAGTTGCAACCTGAATCCTAGGATAAGAGGGAAGCTTCATAAAGAATTATAAAACATCCTCAAAATCCCTGAGGTTTGCTGACAAGACTCATACCTCACTCTACAAAGTAGCCATCCCTCTTCTCAGGAGGGGAGGACAAGGTTCAAATTTATCTGAGTTCTCATAGAGTTTTAGAGTTATTTCTCTCCAACCATTCTAGGTTCTTCCATAAGAGGGAGCCTAACAAAGCCACTCCATGATCCATGTTCATTTGAAATGCCACAAACAACTTTTTAGTTGCCTGCTTTGCTCTGAGAACGAGAAAGGGAAAACAAGGATTTTTTTTGTTGCAAGCCATAGTTGTGCCGCTGCTATTTGTCCCTGGGGAATGCCTGTGTATGCGAGCTCTGGTGTGCGACAAGTTGACCCGGTTGGGATAGAGGAGGCTGGGACCAGGACCTGGGCTAGCCCCAGTAGCCTTACCTGGGGTCTTGGGAGACTCCCAGGGCTCCAGTGGCAACAATCCAGACACATGGAACCTGGCTGCCACATGCGCTGCCCCACTTTCTTCCGCCACAGGATTTTTGACACTGAAATCTCCCGGTGTAAATAAAAACCTGCCACGCTGCAAATTAATAGTGACAGGTTTTTATTTAGTGAACATCTGCATCTGCAGCATGTGTGGTTTGTACTGCCGCCGATGGGTCTGCACTGCCGCAAACCACACATGCCCCATGGTAGTAAAAGTGGTAGACAATCCCTAAGAGTGCAGCAGAGAAACTGGTCTATTGGAATGGGTACATCAGGAACAATCACTAGTTAACAACACATATTTTAAGATATATGTTATTTAATGCGCAAAATTTTCAAGAAAGATCATATACAACTTCAAATAAACTAAATAAACCAATATGGAAAACCAATTCTATGTAACCACAAACATCTATTCAGTAATCACCCTCCAATACAAAATGAAAACAAAGCCATTTGATAATGGCCCAGAACACCATAAATGCCTTTTTCAATGGTATGTATAATTGTACCATTGGTATGTAACATGTTTTCAATAAAAAAGGACACAGTTCCTGGACATTTCATTCACAATTGCATAGTATAGAATTTATATTCATTATTTTCAAACTCTTTCAGTTCAATTCCATGTTACAGTGCTGCTCAAACTCTTAATTTTGCAGCTTTTCTTGATTTCAAAAGACTCTCATTTACCCATTTTCAGCTGAAAATACATTTGAAAAGTTATGAGCAATTTTCAGATATATAACCTGTTGCAGTTAAAAGGAATCAAGCTTTAAGCAGTCAAGTAAACTGTTTATTTTTATTATATGCAGGGTAAGTCTTTTCTAAAGCTTAAAGATATGAGAAAAGTAAATTTTATCAAAATGTGCTTTTTAGCATGGAAAGGGGAGCCATTTATGTATTTAATGTTGCATTTTAGGAAAGTCTTCCCCTCTGCTAAACATTTAAAAACTAATACCTACAAAGATATCAATAATGGGAGGTCTTTCTTTTAAGTAAATTCATTTCTCTAAATTATTTAAATCTCTGGGAAGCAGTAATTTGGAGAACCCTAAGCAAATGTGCAATTCCACTTAATAATAGATAATATTTTGGAGTATTATAGCAGCTTTTACTCAAGGTTCTTAAAGTATCTAAGAAATATCAATTTATTAAATATCACAATATTCTGTGAAATAAGACAGTAGTAATGTTACCCCTTTTTAACTGATGGGGAAGCCAAGGCATTTTAAGGATAAATAATTCATCTGAGGTTAAGAAGTCTGTATAAGGGGCAACGATTTCCAATTTGTGTTGATGGGGGCTGAGATGTCCCATCTCTCATAATGCAAACAAGAAGTCAAGGGCCGAATGCAAACCTAGGTTTAACCTGCAATCAGCTATTCCCTGTTTGTGAGCCTGAAAGTATAGACAAATGTACCTTTGTAGAAGCTTCTAAAAGGCAGGAGGAGGTGCAGCTCTGGACCATGCAGAAGCTGTTACACTGTAACTGTAACATTCACAAGCTGTAATATAAAGGTAGCAAAACTGCCTCAGCTTTAATCCAGGGTCAAAGTATCACTTGTATTGCTACAGGAGCATGCACTCATAACTGTTACTGACGAGGCATAGCAACCAGTTTTTGCATCAGTGGGAGCTGGGCTGCCCACAGCGGTGGTCAGCAATCCTGCATCCCCTCTGAGTCCAGGCCTAGGACTGGTGCCCTGCTTGCCCACCATTAGTTTAGTTGAGTTACAGCATAACAGCTCCTGTGGTTTCTCCTCCCCTTTGGAAGCACTGCCAATGTAATTTTTGGTCCATACCCTGAAAGAGACTGGCCACAAACTCTTATTATTTGCAGACTTTTCTCAAAAAACAAAAGACTCAAAACCAAGAAAATGTCTTTAATTAAAACTGGATAAAACTGACTTCCAAAACATTCTGCTCAAATGAGTAGTGATGATTTTCAAGTCCAAAATGAAATTAACCCATGCACGGCAGGAATCAAAACATCTGTCCACTTACTCCTGTATGGTGACAGGCTTCTCAGATCCAACCCACTCTTTTAGCATTACTTTGTTGCTTAACACATCAAAATATCCATTTTTGAACATCTACATTGGTTAACTGGGTCAAATGTTAAAGCCACTGTCAAATTAAAAATAGTCAAAGCAAAAGTGTTTACCTCTATTATAAATAGGACTTTAAAAAGCATGTACACAGACACTCATCATGGTCCTGTTGGAGTCTGCAAAAGATAGTGTTCTGTGACATGGGTGTAAGACCGTAAATGATGGCACTGCATGCCTTAATATTTTGAGACCAGTTTACAAGGCATGCACAGAACCTCAGCAAACTGGCACATATCCTTGAATCACCACTGGAAGAATATTTGATCTCCTTGGTAAATATGGTGTTCAGGTGAACATTTTCTATATAATTTACACTTACTTTGAGCAATTACTGTCTGTTAAATAAATGCATATTTTTACAGTTATTAAATTATTTACATAATGTCATAGTTTGCAATTGCTCCTTGGAAACTATAACAGCTGAATGTTGAAAAATATATTCAGGCACTTTTCAAAATAAGCATTATTTTTACCCAGTGGAAGGGTTCAGTCAAGTTACGCCAGTAGTTCTGCATTGTATTTAAATAGTTTTAAAATCAAACAGCTGTTAGACTGTTTGATGAATGAATAGATCAGGGCCTGATTTTGATTTTTCACTAGGTTTACTCTGATATAAATCTTTGAGAATAAACCTCTAGCAATGCCTTAGCAAAGCTTGAGGTAGCAGAAGGGAGTGTGGCAAAGATGGCTCTAATAACGCCACTTGAAGGTCAGACCTATGTTTGCTTCCCTTCCAGGCCTAAGGAAGGGCACTTTATGCCTGAAAACCTGTCTCTCTCTCCTAACTTTTTATTGGACCAGTTGTTCCAATAAAAAAGATTACCAAAAATAAAATAAAAATCCTTGCCTCTTATATATTTCCCAGGGTGCACATTAAGAGGGAGCTCAGGGCAGCCAAGCCCCACCCCCCCATAGATAAGAGCCCCCCTGTAAAATTTGAAAATCATAACCGGGGGGCGGGGAGGGTGGGTCTTTGATCCTCCAATTAGGTAAACTTGTTAATCAATGAACCAGTTTAATTTTTTTTTGCAGAACCCCCCAAGAGTCAAAGTGTAATTCAAACTCTGATATTTCCTGAACTATCATTGATGCAACACCATTCCAAGACTACTACAAACTTTTAGAGGGATTTAGACCTAAAGATGCAAATAAGCACCAATGATTTTGAAATAGGGGTTAGACACCTATCTCCTTTTGAAAGTCCAACTGGGCACCCATATTTTTTTAAGCAACGAAATACTTTTAAGAAATGTGACCATAAGTCACTTCTCTGCACCATGTTTTTGGGGTTGGGTTGGTGACTAACTCTCACCTGCAGCTCATGCTCTTGTAGTGGTTAGTATATTAATAATAATCAGCTGTACTACAGTTTATGCAAGCCCCATCACATCACTGTTCCACCTACAACACAACCCTGTGCTATAGCTTTCTACTGTGTAAGGATGTCTCTGAACACAGGGAATCCCTTGATGCTCCTTACACACAGCTTTCTCACTGCTCTGTCATGCCTAAAACAGTATGAATCACTGCTGGGGTGCTAACAATCTGACCTACTGATTTCCGTGGAGCTATTCTCAGTTTACAATGAAGGTGAAAGGAGAACAAGTTTCATTTTACTTCTCAGCATAGATGTTGCAGTGTTAGCCAGACATGATTTCCACAAAGCTATACTCTTCAGAATAACAAATAAGGACCCACTCTATGTGATAAACTAAACACGTACAAATTCTCACTTCGCAGCAAAGATTTGTATTGATTATGAGACATATGTAGAGTTCAACAAAGCATTCAAAATGATGAAATCCAGCATCCTTTTTTTCTACACTGCTGAAATAGAAATGGAAAAATATAACCAGGCATGTCTACACATCACCTTACAGCAAGGCAGTGATATGCTACATCACTGTATGGCACGCTGTAGTGATCACATGGGTCTACATGTGATTGCCAGCTATGTTGCCATAGAAGTGTGCTCCCCCAGTATAGTGTGCTGCCACAGTGACATAGCTCAGAAATTTACCTGTGTGCGGCGTGCATGGTGCAGTAACAGCCCATACTGCACCGCAGTTTAGTACTTCCAAAAGGAAGTACTAAAGCTTAGTGCTGTAGCAACACCACCATACGGCGATGTATAGAAATGACCACCTTGTCCTTAAAATAAATTGGTTAAACAAACAGATTAACAACTTAATTGAGTTCACATCTTGAGAATTAAGGCACAGCAGAAGTTCACTAAGGCTGTGCATTAACCACTCGTGATGACAGCTTAGCATAGAAAATATAGCTGCCTCCTTGTCATATTGGCTCTATTTGGTAGTATTTCAAAATTACAGATAAAGTACTACATATAAATAGTATTATGTTTGTAATGAAGCTCAACACTGATATATTTCAACATAGCCCCCTCACCAATTTCAGAAACATTCTTAAAAGACCATAATTTTTTGGAGCTTTTAGAGAAGATTGGGTTAAAATGATTTGCTTCCGCATATTTGCTTTGTAAAATGTATGTTATCTACTCAGACAGGTCATGCTTTGGCACCCCTTAAGAAAAGGTGTATGAGATAGTATAAGGAGAGTTTCTTTGATCAAACAGACTGGTGACAGTTTATTGGGTACAAATCTACATAAATGTTTAGAAAACATGCTATTTGGAGATAGGAGTGGATCTGCCATTTTTATATATATTCTAGAATCACTGTACTCTATTCTATAAATTCTTCAAATACAAATGTGCAGATGCAGATCCTTATGAAGGCAAACTTCCTGTTGAAGTAAATCTGCCAAATTCATCCTCCAACTTTATCCATGCAGTCCTCAGGAGAGGAGAGAGGGAACTCCATGATATAAATGAAGGTTGTCATCCTGCAAACACTTGGATAAATGCACAGTCCTGCTGAGGTCAGTGGTCCTAACTCTTCGCCACCCTGCTACTTTTGCAGTGCAACATGACTTCAAAAGAACATGAAATGCCCCTTGCTGAACTAGCATCTTTGTAATAAGGCTACAGTATTCAGTTCTCAAGAATATAAAAATCGATTTGTTTGCTACCTTGTTATAAGAAATGCAATGTATGTTGCTGCAGCAGCTTTTCTTATTTTACATTAAGATATATTTAAAATGTATAAGCTAACATGAAACGTGCTGTTTCCTTACGAGCCACAGTATGCATTTTACATGTCATATCGAGCACACTCTGTAACTAGAAGCCATTCAGCCAAATAGAAATCTGGTATATCTCTGTTGTTTCAAAGGGATCCACATCCAGCATTTATAGGGCTTATTCTGTCTATAGAAAATAGCATTAACTGGAAGCATTGATTCTACTATTGCAGAGGTGTAGTGTGTGGCTTCTCTCCGTACTAATTTTACACACAATGATCCTCAATAGGAAAGGCAAGTGCTCCTACAAGTAAAGCCGCTACAACATCAGAATTTCTAATTGGCAGGAGTCATCATGCAAGAAGGGACCCACAGATCCTAGGCTGCATGATCTGTTTTATTCTTGTCATTAGCCTGATCATGTTCTCTCCCCAACTGTTTTGAGGCCATTGGAAACCAATGAGAATGTTATACACACAAGGAATGTGAGGTCAGGCCTTTAATCAACTGAATCATCATCAGATGTAGCACTCAAGCTACTTGCATGTGGCAAGGATGCATAAAGTCAGCAACACAAAATGAGTTTGTGTTAATCTGCATTATCATTACTGATTTCAGGTGCCCATACGTTTCTGGGAACAGCAGACATCTATGATATGCACTTATTTAGATCATACATTTACATTTCTGTGCCAAAAATATATAAACACACAGAGATTTACATACATACATTCTAAATAATCAAACATCTTAACATCTCAAATAAAAACCAGCAGAATAATCTCCTTGCCCCCAAAACCAAGGGTCAGGGCTTATTTTATTTGTCAGTAAATCTACTTCTGTTCTTTCTGTTAACTTAGTTTAGAGCTCTTCCTCACATTTGCCTTTCTCCATACCACACTACACTTCTCTTTTTCACCTTTGCACAGTGATTCTGAATAAGGAATGATAATTGCTTAGGTTACAGTATATTCCCATCTCTGCAGAGGATATATGAATGCCATGCACTTTTATGGTGCTCCCACAAAATGATAAAAAAGAAACACCAGTTATTGTTTCTACTCTCACTACTAATACCTCTCCCAAATCTAGATAATTAGTTTATCTAGGGAAAAAGAAGCTATGTTTCAAATACTGCCCTCTTATACCTTTAGAATTACTGTTCTACTATGCTTAATTACAGCAAAGCACATATATTAAAGACACCTATTACTGAGTGATTGTTTTCATTTGCAGCTTACTGTACTAATGATTCATAAATCTAAAGACAGGACATTGATCAGTACATCAGAATTTTCTGTACAGAAAAGAAAGCTAAAATGGCATTTTCATGTTAACATATAACTGTTACAGAATGTTAGAAGTTTTGAATGCAGATGTTAGAAGTCACTTTCAGGCTAGGTCCTTCCCAGAAAATATGGCATCACCACAGTTATAATGAGATCAGTGTTAACTGTGTAGATAGGATAGGCTTTCTTTTTTTGAAATTTGGGTTGAAAAACTATATTGCAGCCGTAGCCATACAAAATGTTTATTATATTACAAATTATTTGTACACTATATTGTTACTTCATCATTGCATTGTGCTCAGACAGCATAAATATTACAACATGATTTCTCTTTCCAGGAATGTCCTTTTTGTCTTCATATTACCTTATTTTTGAACTTTAAAAAAAAAACATACTGGAGAAACATGTTACAGACAAGATAAAAAGCCATTATGAATGGAGAGATTAAAATTCCTCTGTGAATAAATTACATCACAGTGGTATTTAAAGTGATGAACTGGGGAATTTTCAACAGGTAGCACATTTCAAATACAATACTACACAGAAAAAACTTGAAACATCTAGCAAGTCTTCCCCAGCTATCTGGGGCAAAGATAAGTTGATTTAACTCTGGAATCATAGTGCTGTCTCTCTAAAAGGAATTTAAGACTGAAATTAAAATCCTACATTTTGTTTAAAATGACACACAAAGCCCTTGTGTATATGGAATTTCTTAAATGTTTTATGGTCCAGTTTGACAAGACTTAGAAACATGCTTAACTTTAACCCCATGTATAGTGAATTCATTGAGACTACTCAATTGCTTAAAGCCAAGCAAGTGTGTAATTCTGCAAGACTGGTACCCAAGATTTTACTTCAATTGCATGTAATGGCTTGTCTACACAATAAACTGCACTGAGTTAAGTAAAGGAGTGATTTAAAAATGAATTTAAATCATTGCAAAAGGCAATGGATGTTTTAAAATAAAAATACATCTTCATGTCAAACACTAGTTTAACTACATTTCTGTAAAAAATTACACTGTATTGATGAAACCTGTTGTTGTAGACAAGGCTTAACAGACAACTTCTCTCCAGTGCCAGTGAATGCTGTTCCCACTGAAGCTGACAGGAACTACCCAGGTATATGGCAAGCTGAGGTTGACCCTATGTTTTTAAGCATTCATTTTTAAATGCAACATTTTCAGGCAGACAACAATTCAACACAAAAAGACATTTGGATGCCTTGTGTTACACAAATGAGATTGTATTAATTGGCTGACAGGAAACTGAGACAGCAGTGTATCGACTCATAGTTATGAGAGGCTGAGTTTCTTTGGTTCTTTATTCATTTGAGTTACCCAGCTGCCTATTTGTGTAGTCCAAGACTCAAATGCTAATATCCATCCATAAAGTTACTAACTTTTTTCTAGTTTTGCAATCCGTTTAATGGTAATTTCCTGTCTGCAGCAGATTGGTCACTTTTATAAATATACAGCATATATTTACACAGAGATTACAAAAATACATTTTATTTATATCTGATTTTTTTTAAAATAACAAAAATGAAATTTCACATTTGTTTAAAGAGCAACAAGCATTCCAAAAGGTTTTGCAATATTTAAGGTCTTGAGTAAGAGACACATCTGTATTCCAGGATAGCTGGAATGGGCTTTATTATTAATATTTTTTTGAAAAAATAGCTCTGCTTTAAAAGTTTGTGCTTCAGCAGTATCACCCTCCCCACTTTCCGACCTCTTTTTCCTTGTCCTCTCAAATGCTACAAAGCTAAACCAAGCTCCCTTTTTCACCTCCATAAAGACCAAAGAAACTCATTAGGAAAACACAAGGATCAAATAAAATAGCATATGCAATTGAGGCTAAGTGAATAAATTAATGGGATGAAGGACATCACCTTTAACTCCAATTGACATCAAACATGCCCAACACACCAGAGCCCCATAAGCAACTTTAGTCCCCAACTCATTACTGAAGGAACTTGAAGTATTTTTCTTGATCTTCCACAATTTTGTATGACTGCAAAAGATGAATTACTGTCACATTCAGCAATGAGGATTGCTTTTTTTTTTTTTTTGTGGAGGGTGGACTCATATGCGGCATAACAGGTAATGGCATTTATCTTGCAAGGTACACAGTCCTCATAGGTTCAGTAAATACCCCTTTTTCACAGAACAACAGTATTTTTTTAAATCCACACACTTGTTTACTTATTTACACTTTCATGTAATCAGCAGGTCCTTTACATTCAGAGCTTCCTGTAGAGACTGAGATGTCTAGCGCTGCCACATTCATTGTTCCAGTGTAACCAAAGTCAATTACAGCTTCAGTTAGTACTTTCTGGCATCACTTCACTAAATGTCATTGTTCAAGACAGAGTACAAAGCACTGTGTGAAACAGAGGTTTCCTTGTAAAAGCAGGCATATTTGTTCTTCCAGGTTGGATAGGCTCACCCAAGGCTCTCAAATTTACCGGCTTCACATGCATTCAGAATGAAAAACTCTTCAATATAGAGTGAACTCAAATAACCATTTTTCATTTGTAGGGTCCTGGAAGCTTTTAGCACCCCTTTCCTTTCTTAATTTCTTTCCCACCATATAGTATAGGCTCAATATTGAAAACACCTCTGTCATACAACAGCAGCTTTAATGAGCACTGTAACCACAAATTACCAAAACTACAATTAACTCTCTTCCCAGTCTTCTCTTGTTTCAGGCTTTTGTACTGTGAATAGGATGATGAGACTTAGGGCTATTTACAGGGTAAGTTATTTATCTTACTTATTCACCTCATATTCTTTTGGTCTGAATGTGGCCTCTAGTAGAGAAGGACTGAGCTTGTTTCTCTGGCTTCAGCTCTCCTTATCAAGTGTTCTGTAATGGACTGTTAATCTGATCACTACTGTATTAGTTTTATGGCCTTCAGTTTACCCAGTACTACTGTATTGTTTTCTTTAATCAAAGAAAGAAAGTTTTGACATGCAGACGTTATTTCAGACAGTTCCAATTCTGTGCCCCAATACTTTAATAAACTTTGCCATTACACAGATGTATGTTTAGTAGCATCTCTAGTAATGAAAGCCCACAGTCAAGAGCTAAGTGACAAACAGTTGCATACCATAAACTGAACTTAGCACTATTAAACAAACAGTTACCTGGCAGCATCTCCTTAGCTGGCAAACAGAATGGGTATCTTCAAGTCCCGCTGTTCAGTTTCATTCTATTCCATAACAACAGAGTTGACTTTTCAGAAAAAGAAACATGCCATCACTTTGGCACAAGTCACAGCAAGCTTTAAACCGAAAACTGAAGGACTTACTTCCTTGGCTACTGCAAGTTACATGATACGAACATAGCACACAATGAGGTTACACCTGAAACTCAAACATATCTGTTTGTTTCTTGGCCAGTTTTGCAACCTCCTCTCTTATTGCCTTCACTAAAGCAGCTGTAGATATGTTGGTGAGAGGAGTGTCAGAAGGGTCATTTTCTGTTAGGCTCTGCTGAGAAGCTGCAGTAGAAGGTAAGGGAGCCTGTTCCAAACTGGGGTGCATGCTTGCAGGCTGACTGTATTGGCGGTGAAGTCTTGAAGGAGAATTATGTGGGTAGCGTGGCCGCGGATAAGCTTCTATGTAGCCTGGGAGTGGAACCTATAGATGATAACAATCACACAAAACATTTGATCTTCAGCTCACCTGGTAAGTACTCTAGTTCCCAGAAGAGCCCCACTAGATCAGTGTTATTTTATTAGTGCACATTTTTGCATGCACTGTTTCTGCAGAAAGATTGGTGGGTTCAGTAGTTCAGCTATCCCAATCATATCAATAAACATTCTTTGTAGGGAGAAACACTGTACATATCAAATTGTGATCATCACTGCAGAACACAGAAGGATGCCTTGATGGAAGCAAGACCATTATTTATTATTCTTTTTAATGGTTTGCATCAATGAAGTGAACGCCAAGACATTTCAGGACACTAAAAGCCAAGAGGGGGAAATAGGAGTTTGCTGACCTGAAGCACCATCCTGTAGTGGTTAGGGCACCCTCCTGGGCAGGAGACATCCAGATTTCCATTCCCAGTTACAAAGCCTGTTCATGTATCACAGACCTTGGAGCAAGGGCTTGAACCCAGGACAACCTCCCTCAGAGATAAGTGTCCTCCCCACAGGGGCTAGAAAGTCTTGTCTCTCACCATGTGCTCTTGCACTCACTCTCTCTGGTCTGAAGATTACTGAATTATTTTCTGTAAAGTGGAACAGTTTCAAGACCAGGAGATCTCTTTCCCCAGTTAGAATGATCTATAACTTCATGGTTAAGTCATTCTGTTGTAGGTGGTTATAAAATCCCTAGCCAAGGCCAATGAGGGAATTGAAGTTGTATCTTCCACTTCCTGGGGGAAGGTTTTAGTTAAAAGAGGGATACTGGCTCCTCCCCTGGCCTTGCTTTAAAACAGTGGTTCTCAACCTTTTTTGTGCTGGGACCCATCTGTAAACATCAATGGCCAGTCCCAGCCCAGTGCCCCTCACTCCTTACCCACTGCCTCCCACCCCCACGTCCCAGCCTGGGGGTGGTCTGAAGAATACCGAATTATTTTCTGTAAAGTGGAACAGGTTCAAGAGCAGGAGATCTCTTTCCCCAGTTAGAATGATCTATAACTTCATGGTTAGGTCATTCTGTTGTAGGTGGTTATAAAATCACGGTGTGGGGGGGGAGCTCCAAGCTGCCCCTTGCAGGCTGGAACTCTGCCAGCCTGCAAGGGAAAAGCCACAGTTTCCCACATTTTTCTCCTTTAAAGGAGAATCCGTTTTTAAAGTTTGTTCGTGACCCTTTCATATATTCTTGTTACCTACTTTTGGGTTGTAACCCACGGGTTGAGAAATCCTGCTTTAAAAAACATCAGCAGCTACCACTGCATATTGTATAAATTTCTGTCATTACATGTGCCCTGATACCAGGTTCTAGACCTCAGACGGGTTCACGGAGGAATGACTCCATCCTGAGTCCTGAGAGGGCTTAGCATAAGCTAGGTGCCAAGTTGTTCAGCCATCAGCACTTCACGGCACAAACAGAAGCACAACTGCACAAGTGACCTTTCATGTTAAAAACTGAGATGCCCATGGACTTTTTTCAGAGCTCAGTGACAGGTAAGGGAGATTTGTAATGATGACAGCTGTAGATTTTTAAATTCAGCTCAAGTCTTGTTTTTTTGGATTTGGGTTTAGATGCCTGCCCTTTTTAAACACTTTAAAAAATCTCACTGAACCCCTATCCTGCATCTTCAGGTGCCTAAATACATATGGAAATCTGCCCTTCAGTCTTACTCATGTTCTGAAGGACTCATCTACTAAACAAGATTTAAAATCTGACTGGTATCAGTGCTTGCCTGAGTACTAGATGAAAGTGGTAATTATAAAGTCAAGAAGAAAAAACCTGTTAGGTGATAATTATTTAACTGATCACATGGCAAATTTATGCAGCATAGGAAAAATCTACAACAAACCACTAGAGGCCACTATTTTACTTTTTTCATTCAACAGCAACTTAATGATAATAGGACCAAATATATATTTGGTGGAGGAGGGAAAATGTAAATCTTCAAGTATTTCATGCATCATGGTAAATTGAACTTAAAATGCAATCTGTTGGTGCCAGCTCTTGTGATTTTATGCATATTGGCGTTTTTCTTAAAGCCTAGCTCTTGGAAAAATGGGAGTAGAGAATCTTATTGGTTTCATTTTTTTAAATAAAGTTTTTAGCAGTCCTGGTAGTAGAGAGAAGCTTAAAAACATGACTGAAGTGGGATCTAAAAGCTATAAAAAACTAGAAGGCAAATAAGCTCTCCAGTCTCATGACTTTTGCAGTCTGATCTTGAACATACAGACATGGGTCTCTTTCCCGGTGACACTTTTCAAATGCAGGAGGCTAACAGGCACAAAAATCACTTGAGAGGAGGCAACATCCTTTGTGGAAAAGTGAGTATTTTATGTTTTACATTTTTTCCTCCTCCTCCTCTTTCCTCTACCCTGTAAGTGGCCTCACTTTCTAGGAGCCAGTTCATAACAGGGGCTACAGTCTTCATACCAGAAAGAAGTAGCTAAAAGTTCTGTCAAGGAGGAATATCAGAGACTTCTCATCAGATATGCTCAGTTTACACATGAAAAAGTTGATTCCCTGCCAACAGCATTTCAAACTCAACTTCGCATCTGACAGTCAAATTGTGTTCTCTCCTTCTCAGGCATCAATAGCAGGGAGAAAGGTTTGGCAACAAAACGACAACCCCGCCAACACTTGTGAATCCTAATCTTCCCTTGCAGAGTTTCAGAGGGCCAACTAACTGGCCTTGCAACTGCAAATCACTAAACAAGACTGTTGATGCACAACAAAATACAGAAGCCACGTCCCTACGTGTTGATTTCAGCATTAAAGGCAGGACTGAACCGAATGCAAACAAGCAGCATTTTAAAAGGGTTACTTTAAGGGATAGTGGAAAAGTCTTCAATGTCAACAAAAAAGACACTTTTCCCTGAAGTGTTTCTTTAAAAAAAAATGGCATCTAACAAAGGTTTCAATGGCTTCAAATGTAATAAAAAACTGACATTCACCTTCAGGGCTGAGTTATATTATTCTGGGATACAGCTGGCTCCTACTCACTACAAAGCTGTTAAATTACCTAGTTTGTGGACCATCACACTAAGTATGACAGTCAGTTTGTACACATATGGGAAGGGGTATCAAACTCATCTGGCCCCAAGGGACAGATAACTGGTGTTCACAACCAGTCCATGGCCTAAATGAACAGTGCAGATCCAGTTCCATGGGCAGATAGGGAGCACGGTCCACCTGCCCTGCTTGCTAGTTCTGGTGCCCACTCCAGCCGGTCCAGGATGCAAGCTACACACAACACTGAACCCAGAGTGGCTACCATGTGCAGCTCATGTCCTGGCCCAGCTGGAGCAAATGCCCATATGCAGCTCACATCCTTGACCAATTGGAGCAGGTGTTGAGAGCATTGGATCCAGCATGGAGGGGAGGAGCTTGCAGTTGTTCCTAGACTGGCTCTGTGTGGGTGCCACACGCAGCAACAGGCATGCAGCACACGTCCTGGGCCCTGCACGCTGCATGTGACATGTTGGTTGAAACCTAGTGCCAACATATCTTTGACACTCCTCCTCTAGGGCATGGTTTAACCCTATAACAATCTTAGCGTACACATACAGACACTAATCAATCAACTTGTTTTACTTTCACTGAACATTCACTCCATTCTTATTTTAAGCACCTTTTATCTATTTACATGCAGGGTTAACTGGGCTTTATTCAGAAATAGAAAAGTGTGCAAGTCATTCACAAGGAAATGTCCTGCTTCTTACCACTAAGACAAATTAGTAAAGAATGATATTTTGCCTCTTTCTCCCACTCCCATGTCACTCTTAATAATCCCATACACTGATCTCCCACTCCACCTCCGATTCAACTACAGAAAAAAAACAAAGGTACTTACTGAGTCAGCCCACTGCCCTGGTAATTCATTCTCCCCAGCGTAGGGCATCCATGCTTGGTTTCTGTAGGCTGTGGGTGGGGTTGGGATAAAATAGCCTGTGAACCCAGGTCGGTTTGCTGCTGGGATGGCAAAAACGGCTGGCACCGTGTTTCCTGACAAGGAGGATGGAAACAATTACTGATTAGTAATCCTAGCCATCAACGTAGAGATCAATAGAAAGCATGCTTCAAGTAACCAACCTGGGAAGTCAAGCACTGACTGGACAAAGTCATGGATGAACAGGCAGAGGTGTAGCCTCTGGTATCTCTGAACCAATGATGTTGGATGCCAGGGTGGGCAATGAATAGGGGATAGAGCATTCTGGGTGAGTAGCTGAAAACCTCTGTCGACTCAAGACACTCCTCATTAGACTCAAGACACCCCTCCATAACTTTTATGAATTTATTGGTGCCCCATTTCAAAAACTAATTTATTACAGTGCTTACCTCCTTGCAAAGGGACTGGGCAGTGGGGGTGGAGGAGCAGCTCTGCAGGGACAGCCTGAGTCTGCACTTATCTGCTTATCTCCTCATATGCCACAGCACCCTCCTTGAGAATCACTACTCCAGAGATACCCATTGCAATACTCTCCCGCTAAAGCAGTGGCCAGCAAGCTTTACCAGTCATGGGCTGGGACAACCTGTCTCTGGTCCAACGTAGGCCAGGTAGTTTGGCTGGTTGTCAGTGGCGGGAGGTCTCTTCTGCATGTGCACTGGGGCCAGAGAGCTGGAAGCTGCACCTGTACTCCTGACCCTTCTCTCAGTTCCCTGATTCCTGAGTGGGGTACAAGCGCAACTTCCAGTGCGTGGGGAGATGGGCTGGGGACAGGCAGCTGAAAGCTGTACCGATGCTGCTGCCACTACCCCTCCCCCCACCCACCTCTCCACTATGGCACAGGGCCAGCTGAAAGCTGTGTCCATGCCACAACCTTAGGGAGGATACTGCAAGGTAAGGGGAAGCAATGGTGGCATGGGCCAGCCTCAGAGCAGCTCCTCGCTGTACAGCCCTGGTGAGGGCATGAGCAAGTCCTTCCAGCTCCTTGTCCTGGATCTAGCCTATGGGTTGTATATTGTTGACCTCTGCTCTAAAATGTCCACTCCTGCCACTGTCAGAGACAGGACACTGGGCTTGGTCTGACCCAGTGAGGCAGTAATTATGCTCTGATGCTCCCTTTGTCAGAATGATCAGGACACCAAACTGGAACACATCATTCCCATCAGCTGCATAGGATGTCTTTTAAAGACAGAGCATATTAGAGAAGTCATGACTGGATTCTGGAGATTAGGGCAAGGTATGCTTGCAAGGCTATCTAAGGAACTGTGTGTAACAGTTGAGCAAAAGTGGGAGTGGTATAAATGGGTATGATGGATATAGCTGCTTCTTCCCTTCCTAGGTGGGTTGATGGCCCAATGGAAAGGATAATTGGTGTCCATGCCCTAAGTTTGGCCATACTATCCCATGACCTGCCTTCAGTATCCATTTAGGGCATGGCATATATAATGGAACAGCATTACTTTTGTCCCTTCTTCAAATTTTTCACACATTTTGCCTTTGTAAGTTTGTTAGGATTCAGGAGTATTCTCAGAACAACTGATTTCTATTAACACTATAAACCACTACAAAATACTTGTTACGCTTGGATCCCTTTTATAATTTTAAAATACAGCTACCTGGGACTTCACTGCTCTAATACCCCCAAGCTCTCCCACAAGAATAGCAAGGCCTTCCCTGTTAAAGTATTACAATAAAATAGCCAACATAAATTTAACTGGGGGGTGGAGGAAGGCAGAGAATAGGGGGAACAAGAAGTCAATTTGTATCAGAGGGCTAAATTCTCAGTGGGTTCAAGTCAGCAGACTTTCACTGACCCCAGTGTAGCTTATTTTAGATATAAAAACTGCAGAGCTGATCCAGTCCAGTTCTGAACAGCATGTGGGCACAGAGTGTGATGAGAAGCCTCTTGTTAGAACCCCATCATCACACTCTGGGGAGGTTGGAAATGATTGTCCTTCCTGTATGAGGTTCATTTATATCGCTGCATATGGTTAAATCCAGAGATGGTTCATCCCTGGGGCTCATAAAAGTTCCTTTTGATGGGCAAACAGATTGAATGGAGTGTCAAGTATTTTAAAATATTCCCAGGATACACCCAACCTGTCTCAAAACCTTTTCAATCTCCCCCCTTCTACTTTTCAAATGAGAGAGGCTGCTACAATCTCATGTACTCAAAGAAGCATGACTAGGTGTGAGAAAGTGGGGCACCAGTTTAGATGGGTGCCAGAATGGCAGTCCCTGGGAAGCCCAGGTTATAGGGATTGCTGCAGCCAGTGTGCAGACAGCCCCTTCTACAGCTACAGCAGCAGCTTGTGCTGCTGCAGCCAGAGTGTGATGCGTTTGTGCTGTAAGACTCTGCCCCCTACCCTTGCTCTCCAGTGCTCAACATAATACCCCACCCTCTGCCCCTGATACACCTCTCTGTACTCAGTTATGTTTGTCTGGACAAGGTATATATGCAAAGTTATCCAAAGAGCTCTGCATAACACAGTTGATGTTATAAACATCTTCCAGTTTGAAGTCCTCTTGCCCTGTGAGATTACCTCCTTCCTTGGTTAGAGTGTGTTTAAACAGGAGAGCTAAGGACCAGCCTCATCTTCCTAACTTGGAACACCCACACCACTGCTGCACAGAGTTTATCAGTGCCCCTTGTTCAACAGTGCACAGCACATCACTGCATTTTACCAGCTGTATTCCACTAAACCCTCAGAAAAATATTCATCTTTCCATATGCTAAACAAACTATGTCCCTTGTATGTCTGGTGCATCTAGTAACGATGGGAAATGCCTTGAACTAGTGTTCAGGCATGTGTATTTCCTGCCAGGCCTACATGACATAGCAAACCTGACAGCTATATGAATTTGCAAGATCCTACAAATATCAGAAACAAATTCTTATATTGTTGTTTGGAGATAGCCCCATAGCCTCAAAGCAATAACAGTACAACTGACAGCGATATCTGTACTGGTTCTGAGAGAGCAGTTTCAGTGTCTTTCTGGTGCATGCTCAGAGATGGGGAGATTCAGGCAGTGCTTGCAACCTATATGGAAGTGTGAAAAGGCTGCATTTTGTCATTCTCCAGCTACCTCACAAACTCTGTATTTATACTGCACATCACAATCATGGTCCAGATTGTGGAAGTTGGATCCCTTGTCCCAGAGTCAAATGGCATGGAACTGTGTGGCCTGTGGAGGAGCGCTGAAGATACATGGTACCTCAGGCAAGTCCAAATGCCCTGGAATTGCCCTCTGGAAGTGTACCCCTTTGGGGAAGGGATCATATTATTAGGACTGGTGATTACTACCTGCATTTCTCTGACCCCACTCCAAGCCCAGGTATCGAGTTGTTGGACCCCTATCCCAACTCTTCTCACCTCCATTTTACAAGCCCCCGCTCTGCCTGCCAGATGAGAGGAGGTGGGTGTTGCCAGCTAGGACCAGCAACGGGAAGACAGATGGTGCTGCTGGCCCCAGATGGAAGCACCTGCCTCCTATAATCCCATGTGCAGATCAGGAGCCCACCAGCACCCCTGGGAGGGCTATGGGGTGTGGGTCCCTGATCTGCCTGCTGGATGACAAGAGGCAGGTGGCAGGAGGCCGCCTGGGGCCAGCGGCAGCACTGATCTTCCTGGCGCTGGATGCAGGCTGCGCTCAGTGCTGCCTTGTCATCTGGCAGGCAGATCGGGGGCCCGCAGCCCCTGCAGCCCTCCCGAGGGTGCGGTGAGCCCTCCATCTGCCTGCCTGCCACATTATAACCTATGGGTGAAATGGCAGAACAGCATTGAAACAGCAAAACAGTTTCAACAAAACAAAACTGAACTGTGCTTTCAAAACAAAACAAAACTTGAAACGAAACACTGTTCTATCCGAACGTTGAAACAGAAGTCAAAGTGGAACGGTACTGTTTCGCACAGCTCTAGTCTGCAGAGGCTTGCCTGCTGCTCTACAATAAAAGTCGTTTAGTTCTTCTTCTTCATGTGTTTATTGAACCTGATGAGGGTACATACCCTAGTGACCCAGGCACAAAGAAGTGGTTCTTGTGAACTACAGTGTACTTTATACTTTGACATTTTTAAAAGGGGTTGAGTCTATGTCTTTTCTACCTCCATATATGCATCTCCTATCTTCTCCATTAAGAAGAGACTAACTCCTTCAATGACAGTATATTTATATAACAGTTTAGAGGACCAGGTTTTTATTCTTAGTAGTAAAGGCTGAATATGATGCAAATGACTGCCTAATACTTCTGAGAAGGCTAAGAAAGGAATTGTTCAGAAAAATTAACAGAGCAATGCCTAATAAACTTGCCTACTTCAAGACTCAGAATCTCAGTTTAAAATCTTTTAAATGTACAAAGCCAAATTTTTGCCATTCTTCCATAACAGGTATTTTTGTCAACAGGAAACCATTTCCTACTTTTTCCCTCTGGTAGGTCTTAGCCAGCTACTGTCAAAACACTATATCTCCTGGGCAAAATAACTGAATGGTTTATAAGGAAAAGTCATACTACAGGTTCTCAGCTACATTGTGCTTTTAAGGTATAGATGGTGGTATGGGGTTGTGTAGAGGGACAGGACCCAAATGAGCTCTGCAGTATTGTGACAGCAGGTGCTATACATCCCAAAATACAACAGGAGCTCAGCCACTGCATTACCTTTAGACAGTGTACAAGCACTGCTTGCAGATGTTGGGGAATCAGACCAAAGCTCCCTGTCCCCTTTGGGAGAGCCAACATGGCTAGATTGCTACACTGAGATTTTCATGCCCAGCTCAGGGATTTAGCCACATAAGTCAATAGGAGCTGTATAGTTAAATCCTACAGGCAGCTTTGAAAATCTCAGTGAGGTTATACATGTGCTTAGGTTACAGCTCCTTGCACTACATTTACATTTCTTTATGCACTAAGCAGGGCCAAGCACTTTTCCCATGTGGATATTTTATGGTGCTACCGTACAGTAAACCATGCACCTTCATACACTTCGGGGCTGAAAGCCACAATGGAAGCAACCATGCACTTAAAATAGGAGTTGGAATGCTTTGATCTATTAACAGCTAAGGT